CATTTTCTTCTTGAGGCCTGGGACTCCTTCAGGCACAGCATAGCTGTTCTTTCCACAATTAGAGACAAAGCTTAAAATGCAAATACCTTCAGTTATGTAATGTTTCAACTTCACTAGAGCCTCTGTAGTAAATTATTTTACTACAGGCCCTTTTCTATGTGTAGGCTTTGAGAGGGAAAACAGCCAGGAAGAACACGTGGGACCTGAAGAGGTGTTGCTATGGTGAATAATGAAAAGCACAAAGCGGGAGAGGAGAGTTCTAAAGATCTAGGCTTCCTCCCTCACAATTTTACAAAGCAAACGAGAGACAAAGCCCTGATGCCCTTTGCTAACAGGTAACTTGATCTTGAAGCCTCCTACCAATGTAGTGAATGTACAAATGTATCCACATTTTACAAACGAGGAGGTGGAATCCAAGGGAGCTCAATTAGTTTTTTCAAGATCATGCAACTGATCAGTGGGCTGAGATAGGACTCGAACAATTGTCTATCACCAAACCCCTAGCATAGGGATGGATGTTTTATTGCCTCTAGCTGAAGAGAAACAGAGGAACGTGCTGAGAGATGTTGTTGTTTGGCGTCATTGAGTTGGATTGACTCATAGCAACCCTATGTACAACAGAAGGAAATACTGTCTGGTCCTGCACCATCTTCACAATCATTGCTATGCTTGATCCCATCGTTGCAGCCACAGTGTTATTCTGTCTCATTGAGAGTCTTCCTCTTTTTGGCTGAGCCTCTATTTACCAGACATGATGTCCTTCTCCAGAGACTGGTCCTTCCTGATAACATGTCCAAAGTGAGTGAGATGAAATCTTGCCAGCCTTGTGTCTAAGATTTCTGTATCTTGTCAGTTTGTCGTACTGTGGTGGCTTGTGTGTTGTTGTGATGCTAGAAGCTATGCCACTGGAATTTCAGATACCAGCAGGGCCACTCATGTGGACAGGTGTCAGTGGAGTTTCCAGACTAAGACAGACTGGGAAGAAGGACTTGGTGATCTACTTCTGAAAATATTAGCCATGAGAACCTCATTAGCATCAGGGGATTTAGGCTACTGAATACACCTGGCTGGAGCCCTGAAGCCATTGTGCATCATATTTCCCCAAATACACAAGGCCAACAAATCTCTGGGGAAGCCATTAAGCAAAACTGCCTGAGGCCCATTCTCACACCAGTAGGTGTTATGGCCAGTGATTGCTAAGGAAAAGGAAGCTCTTTTAGTTCTGTTGGCTGATAGAAGGCTGGAACACCTGGGTCTCAGTTCTCTCTGTTACTTTTCAGCTTGTATTGTTGTTATTATTGAAATGAGCCTATCTTTTTCTCTCTCTAGGCTTCAGTTTTCCCATATGAAAGGTTAGAAGATGGATTGGATGAGAAAATCGGACCATTGTGATCCATAAAGTTCACACTGGCTGATTTTCAAAAGTAGATTATAAGAGGTTTCTTTCTTCCTAGTCTTCTTAGTTTGGAAGCTCCACTGAAACCTGTTCAACATCACAGCAACGTTCAAGTCTCCACTGATGGGTGGATCGTGATTGTGCATGAGAAGCCTTGGCCTGGTATTGAACCCTGGTTTCTTGCCTGGAAGGTGAGGATTCTACGACTGAACCACTGATGTCTCACTGCTACACAGTGGAACCTGCCTTTTTGCACAGACCACACACCTGCTGATTAAACTGGATTCTGCAGGAGTGGGCAGACTATAATTTTCTAAATCATAATTTTCAAAACCAAAAACCAAGCTCATTGCCGTTAAGTTGGATCCAACTCATAGCAATCCCTCCTTGGTTTCTGAGGCAGTATCATTATGAAAGTAGGCTGCCCAATCTTCCTTCTGAGGCATTTAGGCACCATAATTTCTAAAGCTTCTCAGATGATTCTTATATACAGCCAAGTTTGAGAACCAATGAATTACCATACCAGCCTTCCAAAGTCCTTCCAGATGTAACACCTTTTGTCAATATCTGCTTGTGAAGCACATGGCCACTATAGTTTAGATTCTCCAGATACACATAATTCATGGAAAACCCTATACTAAAGCCCCACATTCAACTTGTCTAGAGAAAGTCATTTCACTGTGGTTTAGCCAGTAAAACAATATTGAAAATCTATTTAATGGCCTTAACCTACTGACAGCCTTACACGCTTTTAGGAAGGTGCAAAAATTAATGAGATAATAGAACTATACAGGTATCATTTAGTTAATTTTTATTATAAGGCTTACACTAAATGGTACACTGCAGTTCTGAAAGAAAAAAAAAAAAACATATTTATTAAATGAGTATTAACTACCCCCTTATTTGGATAATGTTTTGGTTACCTGGTGCTGCTCTGACAGGAATATACCATAAATAGGAGGGCTTTAACAAACAGGAGTTTATTCTCTTACAGTTTTAGAGGTTAAAAGTCCAAGTTCAAAGTGCCAGGCTCTAGGGGCTAGGTGAAAGCCCCTCAACCTTGGGCTTCAGCTCTGCCTTCTGCTACCGGCCCACTGAATCTGGAGGCTTTTCTTCACTCAGGCAGCTGCTGGTTGCTGAGGCTGACAAACCCAAGGTCGACAAGTAAAAAAGGCACAGTCCCGATATTACCAAACATGGCAGGCCACTAATTCAAGTCCAGAAAAAGTTCCAAGATCAGCAGGGCATGGCAGCCTGCTGAACAATGACTTGGCTACATGCAGGGTTCAAGTATGCCAAAAAGCTAGATACCTTCCTCAAAGCTGCTGCTTTTATACTGGAAGCAGACATCTCTAATGCAACTACTCAGCTGCTGTAGCAGACTGCACCATGGAAGTGATTGCCAATCTCAGCATGGGGAATAACTACATCCAGCTGCCCAGGCACTCAACCAGGCCCAGAGAAGTTGACACACAACCTTAACTACCACAGACAAAGAGAGATGAATAGTCTTTTTTACTTGAGGAACTCACAGTCTACTGTGGCTATAATAATATCCAGTTGCTGTTAAGCCCATTCCCACTCATGGTGACTCCAAGTGTAGAAGAGCAGAACTGAGCACTACAGCATTTTCAGTGGCTGATTCATTAGAAGTAGATTGTCAGGGCTTTGGCATTTAGCAGCAAAATGCATTAACCATTGGCACCACCAAGGACTCCAGCAGTAATAAGGAAGCAATAATAATAACAACATCAGCCATGATTTACAAGTACTTATTGAACATCAGGCAACAGGTGACAGATGCTTTTAACATCACATTTTAAATCCTCACAACAACCTGTTAGGTAAGCACCCTCCATTTTATTGCTGAGAATACTGAGACCCAGAGATGTTAGGTAACTTGTCAAGATCACAAAGCTAGGAAGTAGTTGATTTGCCATTCTGACCTAGGTCTGTAAGATTCTGAAGCCCATGCTATTTCCAACATACCACAGAACCTCTAGAAAAGAGATAAAGGTAGAGATGGCAGAGAGTGTTAACTTACATGGGGTGGGGCCTAGGATGGAAGAAATGTCATAGATTGCTCCAATGAAAGGTGTGATAAGAAAATAAATACTGGAAATCAATAAAGCTATGTTTTGGGCCCAAGCCTGTTAGAAGGCACAATACTGGAAGAGATGAATTCATTACAAAAGGCTAGCTCTTCTGTGGTTAGTTCCAATGTCCTCAAAAGCATTTTAAAAATATACTATTGTGCTCCTCTTTGAGTTTCATAGCTCAACAATATCATTTTTCAACCTGTATGAGCTCTTTGATTCTAAGGAGATTTCTACTTTTGCTGATTGTTATCAGTGATGATACAAAATTTACAAAGACAAGAGGATGGTGATGGGCACAGCTGTGACAATCACCTTCCCTATGATGAACATATCCAAATGCAGTATGAACCAGCTTTTTCTGAGGGCACACACACACACACACATTTCAAAATATGTTAACACCTAAAGATCAAATTTTATACACACACACACACACACACACACATATGTATGTATATGTATATATATGGTTCCTCAGGAATCTAAATGTAAATCTAATATTTTAGAAACCCACTGGGCTAAAAAATTCATCTGTGAAACAAAATGTAGTTTGAGGGTTCATAAATACATTGAGACCTAAAGCAGGAAAAGGGAAAAAGAAAAAAGCAATGAATGTTCTTAGGGAGGCTTTCACAAATCACCATTTTCAGGTTGTAGCCAAAACAAGTAAAATGACCAAAGGACTTAGGATCTGGATGAGTATTCAGAGACTAGAAAGTGCTTTAGTATCAGATATTTGCAAAAAGGTTAAAAAACTCTTATATTACAGTTACAGAATGGAAATTTCCTCTATATACATGGAAAAGATGCATAGTTACACATAGGTATTGCATATATGTATATATACATACATACTGCATATACAAAAGGTACACACATTTATAAATGCTATTATAAGGATAGATCTATTTTGAAGCAACCTCTTCCTGTGGAAAATTACCTTCACTTTGGAAATTATGGGTAAGGAAGATATATTCTGCTACTGCAAATAATGACCTAGTGATAAGTCATCATACAACCTTGGATGAGATAATGTATTAACCACAGTGCAAATATGGACAGCATCCTGAAGGGAATCAAGAGGAAGCTATAGCCAGGAAAGCTGGGGTTAATAGACTGCAAAGAGACACATGATTTGTTCTGTTTATATTACTTATTGTAATTCTTTTATTATTATTTTTGAGGAAAAAAAAAGCACTAATGAGAATAAAGATGATACTGTTCAAAGTAGCTGGTACACTTAAAACGCAATTTTTAAAATTTGTAGTTAGGAGCTGTTCAATAAGACAGACCATAAGCTTATTTTTCCCTTCCAAATGTTTATCAAATTGCAAGTGCAGATTTAGAACAGTTTTGTTTTCACATAGAAATCCTCTTTCCACACAGACACATACCCGTACGCACACTCACACTACTCTCTCTTTCTGCTTACAACTGCAAATCCTACGTCTGGACTAAAGATGCTAAGAACCAAAAGATGTGTCAAAGCAGCTGAAAAAACCTACCTTTTTGTTGATCAAACACAGATGGGGTGCTGAAATCCATGGTTGCCTGTCTCATCATTCACCATCAGAATGGAAAAAAAGCATCAGGGCTCTAGAGAGGAGAAAACACACCATCTCACACATTCCAGTCAACACAACAGTCAGCAGCAGCGTCATTTGCCAAGACCTCTGTTTGAAAATTAAGTGTGCATTCGAGCTGCAGGTTGTTGTCAGGACAAATCATAGAAACAGGTAAATGCTATTCCTGTAATACCTGCTGGGAAGAGTTACTTCTTATGGCCTCATTCAGCAGCTACACTTGTATGTAAGTATTATACTCTCTCCCTCCCCAAAAACAACAACAAAAGCCAAACCCCAAAAACCGTATTCAGGATGGAGGGAACCTGCCTTGGATCTGGGCTAGGAAATCACTCCAGGTCACGGATCTTCAGCTACCAGAATGCTGCTTTAAACCAACAGAAATCTCAATGGGTGAGTGAGGCTTCACAGGGCCAGACGGAGCATGTGCAGAGCTGCCAATGCAGTTTGGATTCAGCTCTGCTCGTGGTGGAGGGAGAACTGCATTTGGGTCATGTGAGCACACAGTGTCATCTCAATGGAACAAAACGTAAATATTGTAGCAGGAGGCGGCTGGCCATGTGCTGTATGGAGTAATTACCCACCTTCCTAGTTCATCTTCATTTCCTTTCAGCTTCATTCCCCGAATAACAGTGCAGGAGGAAGGAAGTGGCATTTGAAAGATTATATTTCAAGCCTTAATATCTTGACAATGAAGTTAAAACAGTCCAGTCACAAGGGTATCTACTGTAGCACTGTATCAGGTGGCAAAACATGAAAATCACCCAAATGTACATCATTTAAGGAGTAATTGAATAAATGGTACAAAGTTCATACTTGAGGTATTTTTTTAAACTGAGGTAAAGCTATATGTGCAATGGGAGCTCTGGTAGAGTAATGCCTAAAACACTTGACTGCTAACCAGAAGACTGGCGGTTCAA